CGCTAACGCTATTCTCCTTTACTATTTGGGTGCCGGTTAGTGCAGCAATTCCCCGTATTCTTGCTACACTTTTTTTTTTTATGAGTGTCTATCACTCGTTCGTTCTTTTGCGTCTATGGCTCGGTATTCTTTTCTGTGAGAATGTCTATCACTCTTTGCTCGTCCTTTTGCGACTATCGCTCGTTATTTCCTTATGTGAGAATGTCTATCACATAAGCCTATCTCATGTCTATCATCAAGCCTATCTGCTTGTCCTTTTGCGTCTATCGCTGGTAGCTTATCTTTAGATGTGTATGTGTGCGCGCCTTGTGCGATCTATCCTGTTTCGATTTGTAGGCTAAAATTCCAATCCCACTCTGACGCTGTCACGGATGATTTGAGTGTATTTATTTGTAATATATGCAAATAAAAGCTGATGATACATTTACAGTGACTTTAGACAAATGTGGTTTTAAGTGTTAATATGAAGTATCAAACTATTCAGAGCCGTCCGCTCACTCGCTAATCCGTCTGCACTCGGCGGCAGTTCACACGCTACTCCCTCCCGCTGACAATATGCCGTTGTGAGTTTTAATTTTGACAGCGCTTAACCGACGACCGTTTTACCGTCACCCGCTGCAATTCCGGGTAGAGCTTTAACTGCTCATTTTTATATCGTTTGACACTTGCCATCTTTCTTTAAATCAATCTCAAATGCATTTCAATAGTAAAAATTAGACCTCGTTTTCAATTTGAGAATCATTTGAGAAAAACATTTGATATCAAATTGAGAAATACATTTTTCTCAAACATTTCAAATTGTGTTTGCTGGCTCCCGTTTTTTGAAGTCGGTTAATAATGTTTGAATCCTTTGTTAATTTTATGTAAGTAAATTGCACTTTATGAAACTTTAAAAAGTTTATCTTTTATTACATACTGTTCATAAAACTTGCGTAAATGTAATTTAAAGAGCATATTATCTGAAGTGAATTTTCTGTATTTTCTGGTGATATATCTTTAGAAGTATAACCCCCTTGCCTAGTGGAAATTCGGCATAACTCAGCGCTGTTAGACAAACTATCCTAATTCAGACGCAGCATTTTTAGTGTCTTAACTCCATAGCTTAACAGCCTAACATACGACACACAAAATATGCGTTTCTGAAATAAGATAGTTTGTCTGAAAGCGCTGAGTTAGTTCAAAGTTAGGATAGTTCATCGAGTTAAGATTTTCTTTCGCACGGCGTTCAAGATAGGATACATTGACATCTTTGACCAGTTGAGCATTCCCACGACAGCCGGTTCTACGTACCGGAATGACTCGGGTTTTACCCGACCAAGGGCTGTTGTTTCGGCGATCTAACCGCGTTTAGGTCGGCGAAATCCATCAAACGTTGCTCGATCCTGGCTGGCATAGAGTCAAACCCAGGGCCAGAAATCTACACCTGCTGCGTATGCCAGAGAAGACTGCATACAAACTCCACCTCGGTCAGGTGCAAAGCCTGGGACGGGTGGAATCACCTCCGTAACTGCTCGGGCCTGCGTACGCACCGGCAATGGACCACGTTGTTCGTGGCCCCATGCTGTGCGAACCGGACCGCCTCCACGGCAAACCACCATCCGCCTGGACAGCACACAACCAACACACCCACACCCACACCCCAACACAACACAACAATAGAGACACAAACAAACACAATAGCACCCACGCACCGCCGCCGGCAACTCCTAGTCCCTCCGACAATCTGCTATGTTTGTCAGTCCAGAATATACCGTAACGTGACATCAGTCAATTGCAACTCTTGCCTCGGCTGGTGCCACAATAGGTGCGCTACTCAGAGGTGAAAACCGTATGGTAGTTGGTGACTTTAACGCGCACCACGATCTTTGGCACTCAAGCCTGTCAAATGATCGTAGGGGAATAAATCTGGCTGAGCAGATAGACGATTCGACATTCTGCACAATGAACGACGACGCACCCACCAAGATTATGTGCAGCTGCTGCAGCTCGCCAGATCTAACAATTGTCAGAGCTGGTCTGATAAACAGCGTATCATGGCGACCTATGCTGACTCTAGCATCAGACCATCTGCCCATAGTCATCTCGATTGATAAACCCGCCGACTTTGCTTCCGTGGATCACCGGACTTATGTCAACTTCTCCAAAGCTGACTGGAAAGGCTTCACGGATGTTACTGAGGGCGCCTTCACTGCACTACCCATACCAACCGACGTTCATGTAGGTGAACGTAAGTTCCGCAGGGTTGTCACCGCTGCTGCAGCTCGCTTCATCCCAGCAGGATGTATTAAGGATCCACGTCCGAATTTTCCTGCCGAAGCGGCTGTTCTAGCTGATGAGCGCAACAACCTTCAGGTATTGGCCCAATGCACGCTTGCTTTGCTTACTTTAGTTTGCTTTGCTTTACTTTGAAGGCTTTTATGGCCTAATGGTAGCTTTGAACGCTGTCATAGTAGTCAGCTGATTTTCAATGCGCGCAAATATACCCGCCATTCTTTGTTGTGCCAGCAAGTATAATTGTGAATTTTAGTTAAAATATATGTTATTAAACAATTATTTGTTACTAAGAACATTATTTTTTACAGATACCTTCTTTTTTATCGTTCCGGTTTTGGTGAAGCTGCATTTGGCTGCGCCACTCACCACCCGTGTTTATAAGACGTAATATTCAATTGGAGGTAAAAGAGTTTATATTAAACAATTATTTGTTGCTAACAACATTATTTTTTTCAGATACCTTGCTTTTTATCGTTCCGGCCACCAGATTCGTTGGTTTTCATAAAGGTTCATTTGGCAGTACAAAATGTTGACTCGAAATGCTGAACAAGTTTTGAGAATTTTCCTAATTTTAGCGAAAATGCGTAAATTAAAACTGCGATTAAAACAGAAGCGCCGATTTTGGGTTCGGAAATTGTACTTAGAGCGACACAAATATGGATTGTTTGAAAGTTCATTAAGAAACTTGGCTGCAGATGAGGAGCAGTTTAACAAGACATTAAGAATGCCCTTTTCGTTATTTAATGTGCTGCACGAATTTCTGGAGGCTTCGCTGACCAAATATTCAATCAGAACACCAATATCGAGCCGCTGCAGACTATTTATAACCCTGATGTAAGAGAAAATCGGTTTTACTTAATAGTATACGTATAATTTTCCATATATGTATCTGGTTTTATTTTTTTGTTGCAGATATTTGGCTCACGGTGGCACTCGGCAATTCCACACAATAGTTCACAGGATCGGCCTGACGACTTTCAGGAAGATTACGTTGGAGACATGTATGACCATATGGGATCTGTTAGCTGACCTGTATGTGGCGACCCCGTCAGAAACGGAATGGGGACGTATTTCCAATGAGTTCAAGTCGCTGTGGAATATGCCCAACTGCGTTGGTTCCATCGACGGAAAGCACATTAATATTACCTGTCCAGCGAATTCAGGGTCGATGTACTATAATTACAAAGGCAATTATAGTATCGTGCTTTTGGCCGTATGTGATGCCAATTATACCTTTACCTGCGTTGACATCGGAGCATATGGAAGTCAAAGCGATGGCGGTGTCTACCACTTTTCAAAACTGGCAGATGCTATTGAAAATGATAGGCTCGGCCTTCCACATGATCAGCCTCTGCCAGGAGAAACCGAGCCATTTCCACATTATTTAGTAGGAGATGCTGCTTTTCCCTTACGGCGTTATTTAATGCGACCATATCCGGGTAGAGGTATTCCAGAAGAGCAAGAGTATTTCAATAAAAGACTCTCTCGTGCAAGAAGAGTTATAGAAAACGCATTTGGAATACTCACTGCCAAATGGAGAATATTGAGAACGACGCTATGCATGGCCCCGAAAAATGCAGAACAAATAGTGAAAGCTTGTATTGTCTTGCATAATTTTATTAAGCTTTCGTGTGCAAACTATGTAGCAAGCGATTTTGTTGATCGCTACGAAGAGGATGCCACCATCGCTGGCTCATGGCGAAACGAAGTAGTTCCATTGCCCTCAATAAGTAGGGTGTCATCGAACCGAGGCAGTTCAAATAATTATGATTTAAGGGATGCTCTGAAGACACATCTTTTTAACAATAAAATTTAAATAATTACTACTCGCTGAATATGCTTTGTTTTTATTATTTAAGATAGAAAACAAAAATTTGAACTCACAGTATGAGGGCACTTATTGGTAATGTTTTAAATGTCGTCACATCTTTCAGGTTTTTAAATTAATTTTTGTTCAAGGTAAGTATGGCGTTAACATAACATATATTTCATTCAGTCTTTTAAGTTAAAACCGTTTTAAACAGTATAGTGGTTACAAACAATATACCTTTCAGTCTTTTAATTGTTTTGTTTCTTTTTAAGGTACATACAGTGGGCAAACAAATTATAGCCCCACTATATTTGACAAGTTTTAACATATTATTTTTTAATTTTGACTTTTTTATAAAACGGAATTTTTTACACGGGCTTTGTTAAAGAATTAACTATATTTTTATGAAAAATTTACTAAAATTTAAAAAAAAATGTTAAAACTTGTCAAATATGGTGCGACTATAATTTTTCGACCACTGTAAATATGGCGTATTTATAAAACAAAAGTGAATTACAAACAATATACTTCTTAGTCTTTTAAGTAATATGTTTCTTTTTAAGGTACTTAAGTATTGCCTATTTATAAAACAAAAGTTGTTACAAACAGTCTACTTTTTAGTATTTTAAATAATAGGGCTGTTCAGGATCTTGTCCATAGGATCTTGCATTTACATATTTCAGTGCATTTTCACAACGAAACATGCTCAATGTAAAAATTATAAAAATTGAATTTAGGAAATTTAAAAATTTAAATGACATCCAGTTTGATTTAAATTTTGCGAACTTAATATGTAATCTAATTTAATATGTAATCGAATTTAATATGCAATCTCACCGAAAATGCTTGCTACAATTTCATTGTTTCTAATCAAACACAATTGTACAATTTTTTATAAAAAAAATATCCAGGTTATTTATTTAAATGTCTCGTAACCGCGTAAGCCTCGTAAACTTGCATCGAAAACCACGCGTTTGGAATAATATCCTGAATATTTTCTTAAAAAAATGTACAATTGTGTTTGATTAGAAACAATGAAATTATAGCAAGCATTTTCTGTGAGATTGCATATTAAATTCGATTACATATTTAATTCGCAAAATCAAAATCAGATTTCATACTAAATTAGATTACATATAAAGTTCGCAAAATTGAATTCAAACTGGATGTCATTTAAATTTTTAAATTTCGTAAATTCAATTTTTATAATTTTTATATTGAGCATAGACGTATTGAAGTACGTCCATTTGAAAATCTAGGCGGCTCTCTTCTGGGACCTTCTCAAACACTTCGCCAATCGCACCCAAGAAATTGTTGTGTGTTTTTTTTTGACTATCCACAAACTGACTTACTTCGTTGACTAGATCGTTA